AAAAAAATATTTAAATTTTGTATAAAATATTTGAAATATGATTTTCGAATACCTATACTGATTTTACCCTTCCTGATTTTTCAGATATATCAGTGGTATATAGATTATATATTAAATTATGTATATCATCGATATTTCAACGTTCAAATAATGTATATCGTTATGAATGATTTATCTTGATGTATTATATACTACATATGTCAATTATAGTTGATTTAATTTATACAAAATACACCAGTTATAACTGTGTTTAGCTAAGTGTTAATAGAGGGTAAATTGGAATTTTTATATATTATGCATGGCTGAACTTCTGAATTTTGTTATTTTTATAAAATTGAAATGTGGTTGCTAATTTTGCAAATAACTATTAGTTTTTCCTTTCTTTGCCAGTTATATGTTTAAGTTATACTACCRGTAGGAAAAAAACTAATAGTCGTTTGAAAATCAATATATATTTGTTTCGAGAGTTTAATGTTAATCTTAACTCGTGAAATTATTTGAAAACCGCCTCCTTAGCTTYCCCGTTAAAATGAAGATGAAAATATAATGTGACGATTAGTTTGAAAAATAAATATTACATATGGGTCTACTTTTGCGGGTGAGCTACCAAAAAAACTTGAAGTATTTTAATCACATTCAAATTGCTTCGATTAAGAGAGAACAAATTTAGGAGATAGGAATTTTGGTCGAAACGATGGAAGAAGCCTCAATGTAAGAAAAATCGTATATTGGAAAAAATTACAACTTATTTGACTCAAAAATTAGAATATTCGAAGAAGAGAGAAAACTCATAATTCATGTTTGTGAAAGAAAAGTCATAGAAGAGTGTAGATAATATTGTTTTAATATCAAATAAAGTAGTATAAGAGAAACTTAAAAAAAAAAAAAATTAAAAAAGTAGTACAAGGAAAGAAATTGCTCTTTTCTTTTAGAAAGTCGAAGCTCCTCTATTATTATACGTGTCATAACAAATATATATTTGTGTAATTTTCAAGCCCAAGGTCAAGTCCAAGTCCAAATTAACTTTCTTGCTCAAGGCCCATGTCAAGCTCAAGTTAGGCCCATGTTAAATTCTTTCATTTTTTTTTTTAAAATTCTTCGATATGTTTTAGAGTATATTTGGGAGTGATTTTGATACTTTTGTCATTGTCAAAATAACTTCATTTTATATTAATCACGTTTGACAAATTAAAATTTAATTTTAGGAAAGCTTGCTTTTGTCGTTATCAAAATCACTCCCCTCACCACGATCATGTTTGGCAAATTAGAAAGTTGATTTTAGACTTTCATAAAATTAGAAAGTTGATTTTAAACTCAAAATCACTTAAAATTGATTTTTAGTTTAAATTGATTTTTGAGACATCAATTGTAGGCTGATTTTGGAAAATCAATTATGATTAATCTTTTTGTCAAAATCACTAATTTTACCATCACTCCCAAACACACCCTAAAATCACTTTAAATTGATTTTTAAAGTATCATTCGGATGATGATTTTGAAAAATCAATTATATTTAAATCTCTTTTTTCAAAATCACTAATTTTACCATTACTCCCAAACACACCCTTAGTTTATAATGTTTAAGAGTAAAGTTTCAATTTAGTTCTTTTTATTTTAATTTTTTCAATTTAGTCTATCAAATGTTAAAAATGACTAATGACAAACTTACTTGACATAATATTTAGTGAATTGACCGATATTTAGAAGAGAAAATGTCACATAAGAGACAAGTTTGTGGTTCCTTCTCCAAATTTATAAGAAATTATTAAGATTTTAAGGGCTCGTTTGGTAATGTTCTGGTTTCTCATTTCCAAGTTTCTTTAAGAAATTTAAGCATTTTGTAACTAATTGTGTTTCTTCTTTCTCATTTTTTTGGGAACATTGTTAAAATTGTATAGAAGTTTTGGAATCAACCAAAACAAGTTTTTTCTTTCTCGTTCTCATTTCCAATTCTTTCTCGTTCTCATTTCCAATCTCTTCCACACCATAAATAAATAGATTGTTTTATCTTACTTGAATTCATGGAGGTTGGGCTATGAAATTCATTTTTCTTTATTAAAAATGAATAAACGAGAACGTTACTAAACGGGTCCTAAACTTTCTTCCTTTGATGACATTTTTTCTCCTCTAATTTTTTGTTAATTCATTAAGTATTATGTCAGGTAAATTTATCCTATCACAAGTCTAGGCTAAAAAGTGTTAAAAATAGAGACTAAATTAAAAAAGGCAAATGTTATATATATATATATATATATATATATATATATATATATATATATTAATTATGTATTATTGGTGAGGTCCACACCCATGTGGATGGAAATTCACCCATTCACTTTAAATCACTTTCCTTCATTGCTTGGACACCTTCCTAAACAAGCTAGCACCTTTTAAGGAAAGAAAATAACTCTTGTTGGAAGAGAAAATAATCCTTAATTCAAGAAAATGATTAGGATAATTTTTTTTTTCTTACTTGCTAAAGAAAGAACATGGCCTCCAAAACATTYTCCTTCCATCTTGTTTCCAACATCCTCTTTTAGATTTGTATTAAGAAATGTTTAGATTTTAGCTATAKGGAAGAATTGTTACAAAAKACCTATAATTTAAACCAGCAGTATATGATAACTATCAAAACTGCAGGTCAATCATAGCATATAACTCAACTAGGTAATATATTAATATTTTTTTTCCTGAAGATTAGAGGTTCGAAATCAGCACTCCATCGAGAAAAAACAATACAATGATGATAGAATTGGAAATTGAAGAAGGAATAAAAAAGAAAAGAGCAAGGAAAATAACATTTGGCCAAAACCAAAACACACCTTCATTTATGGCATGCATTTGCATTGGCACTTTCCCACTACATCTATCAAATTGAGTGTACATGTCATATGGACCCCAAACCCCAAAGGAATTCACATGGAAATGCATGTGGGAAAAAGTGATTAAAAAGAAAAGGGCCAATTACCAATCCTACCCTCATGAATTCTCAACTCTCTCTCTCTCTCTCTATATATATATCAAAAATGTCTCAACATCATAAAACACTGCCACAAAATGCTCGTCCTCTATTCCCATTTGGGTGCCTTTTTTCAAGCCCTCCTCCTTTGAAGAAACTAAAGCCTTTTCCAATTGTTTGCCACTTAGCTCAAAAGTTCAAAACACACCTCACCATTCCATGAGATTTATCACACAAAACCCAATTGCAAAAGTGGACTTGGAGACCTATATGAGGATCATGTTTG